AAACAAAAACTGCAATAAAACATAGCTCCAGGGATTTGGAGCTCTCCAGAAATGTATATAGCGGTACGTTTTCAAGTGAGCATAAGTTGCAATGAGAGGAGCATCTGAGCCTCTTCTACTGATACCCCCCACCCCCAACCATTTAAGGTGTCTGTTTCTTGCAGTTTAGTTGTGCAAACTAACAATATAGAATATATGTAAACATAGCGGGTTTGTTATTTTAGGTCACGTATGTAATAATGCTGATAGTGAGTGCAGTGTGTGTGTAAAGGAAAATTACAAATACTTAAATTACTGTAACTCAAGCATTGTACTTTTCTAAGTAGTTTACAAAATGTGTACTTTTACTGCATCACTTTCCTGCAGTCATTACTTTATATTTTTCTTTAGGCTAAGGTGATTGACTTAGAATAATCAGTCCCAAGATTTCTGTCCAATCAAATTTCACCCCAAAAAATTCACGTTAAATATACTGACCTCAAGACACAGATGCTTTATGCCGACTGCATGATTTTAGCCCCGATTTTCACTCGCCGTTTCGCTTTAATACCAAAAATTGTTACCATGTATTTTCACTGGTATTGGTACTAAATCTTAACAATTTGTTACAGTGACAATCATGCTTTTAAAGCAGTTTGATGCTTCAAATGAAGTAAGCAGCAATTACATTATTAGAACAATAAGTGGCATCAAGCAGCCCTTAAAATTTTATTATCTTTGAATAATTAATTCAAGAGATTCTTAAAATATACTGATTCAACTGCTAATTAATCATTCTTCCAGATCAAGATGTTTTTTTTATTATCCCGTAATATATTATCTAAAAAATTATAGTAATGAAAATTTTGTCAGAACCTCTAAATTATTATTATTATATAGTTTGTTAAATTGCTTATTCAGAATTGTGATACTGATTCTCAACAAACAAACAAAAAATCATGATTCTCAGATATCCAGAATAAACCAGCTCTAAATCTGCATCCATATATAGGATGACCAGTGCAATAAAAGTCAAAGTTTACTGCGTTGTGAACAGATAATCTAAGTGAGTTAATGTTTATTGTTGAAGAGAGTCTTAAAGATTTGAAGAAACCACTCACATGATGTACTGAAAAGTGCAGCGACTTGGGTTCTTCTCGGAGACAGAGCAAAAACCTGTATGATGGTGCTATATAATTATTAAACCTCATCTCTGACAAACACTGACCTTTGTGACACTTTATAATCCCTGTGCAGATCATTAACATTAACTCTCTCTAAATGATAATCCAAAATCCTCTATAAGTTAACACATACATACAATTTAAAAACACACTGACTCAGTAAACACTGTAGCATGTAATCTATAATGACTTTTCAATTAGCCAGTACCTGTCGAGGTTTAAATGTGAATATTAATTGTAGTAAGAAAAAGAAAAAAAAATACATTATGCAGTGTTAAAGCAGTTGAATGATTTTGAAAGTGACAGGAGGGATCTACTTCTGTTAATCAGCCAAACATTTTGCTTAGACCGAAGTGGACAAATGTCTGACGTTTACAAATATCTGAGCATAGATTTACTTCAGATGATAAACAAAATCAGAATTATTTGTAACTTTAGTGATTTCTGTTTGTTTTATTTTATTTATTTTAATTTATCTGTAATCCAGATAACACTTTCTGTAAGGTTTCAGTAGTGAATATTAGTTAATGCTTTTAACAAGCAATGAACGATAGTTCTTTGTTAGTTCATGTGAACTCACAGCGCATAAACTAATGTTAGCACAAATCAGAATTTAATAATGCATTGCTAAATGTTGAATTATGATTAATAAATACTACAAGTATTGTTCATTCTTAGTTCATCTTAGTAAATAAATAACTTATTATTGTAAAATGTTACTACAATTTTATTATACAGGTATAACATTTTTTAGATTAATTTAAATGTGAGTCATGTCTTTTATCTTATTAGTTTAAAAAATATTTTGCTTTCATTTTTTTAGTGTTTATTTGTAGTATTTTAGTTCTAGGGGGGAGTTAATAATTCTGACTTCAACTGTACATAATATGCATAATGGGGTGCAAACCGTTTATATAATTCATATATGTCTGCACAGACTGTTAAACATAAAACAAGACCAAAGAAAATCAGAAGTTTTTTGTTTTGCTTAGAACACAACCATCAAACGATGGCAGACGGAGCGAGAGACGTGTGGACACAGAGACCGTCAAACCAATGCCATTCTCAATTCCTGTCAGCTTCAGTTTCAATTCTCTATGAAAACAAGCTACAGTAAAGCATTTATCAAGACATTCATATAAAACACACACAATGATTCAGTTCTCACGATTTGTCAAAAAGCATGGTACACGTAAATTAATGGTTTTCATATTCTGTCATGCATGCTTTTGTTTTTTGTTTTTCATTTATTTATGAATTTATACATTTATTTTGAATTGCATTATGGGACCTTGATTTTTCCTCCAACTTTAGATGTTGAAAAGTGTGAAATGTGTTTATTTTTAATAGTTTGGAGTGATATATTGATATGTGGATTGATTGTAAACTAAAGTGCAAAAACCTGGTGATGAACTGCCAGTACTTTTTCTGTTTTTTTTGGATCTTAATTCTCGATATATAATTTATTATACAATATACTGTTTTAAGCTACTAAAAAGTCAATGAAAGTCTCATTGTTAACCTGCAGAGTTGAATTTTCATCTTCAATAGTCGACAGAGCAGAGATTAGTGTTATAAAATGCAATTTATAACTGTAAATAAACATCCTAACATCCAAAACTGATAATCACAGAAAAAGGAACCTGTTATTAACAGCTATTTTAACAGTGTACTCTGAACAGGTGTTAAATAAAAATACGTAACAATCTGTGCTATTTATAAATGATTTTATTAATTAAGAATATGTTTCATATATATGTTCACTTTTAGTTTCAATTTTGTATACATTATATCATTTGATCTTTAATATGTATTTCTTTGAAAATGTATTTGGTGTTAGTTAGTTAGTTTAGTTAGTTAGTTAGTTAGTTAGTTAGTTAGTTAGTTAGTTAGTTAGTTAGTTAGTTAGTTAGTTAGTTAGTTAGTTAGTTAGTTAGTTAGTTAGTTAGTTAGTTAGTTAGTAAAACTTTATTGTCCTTTACAGGAAATTTGTTATGGGCATCACCATATTGCTGCAGACTTTCCATAAAAACAAACAATACAATATACAATAATTACAATTCTAATTAAGATAAATCCTTGTTAAGTAAACTCACTGAAACTGGTATAAAGGATTTCTTATATCGGTTCAACCTACATTTAGGCACTCTATATATTCTACCAGAGGGCAGCAGTTCATAATGTTGAGACAATGAATGAGTTGGATCATTCAGAATTTGATCGAGGACACAATTCTCTTATAAAACTTGAGGATTAAAATATTCATAGTGCCCAACAATTTTCCATCCTGTCTTTAAGAGATGCATCAACTTAGATTTACACTGTACAGATAGGTTGCCAAACCACACTCTGATACCCTACCTGACAATGCCTTCAAGAACAGCTTTATAAAACAACATCATAGGCTTGTTGACTCCAAAAAGACGTAACCTCCATAAAAAATACAATCTCTTGTGTAAACGAGAGCAAACCCACTCTATGTGTGTTTTCCATGAAAAAGAACTTTCAATTTAAATGCCCAAATACTTTTAGGTCTCTGACTGAGTAATAGGATGATCGTGTACAACCACTTGACGATGGTCACCTATACACTTTGGGTCAAATACCATCTCTTCAGTTTCCTTAGTATTTATTTTTAGTTTATTTGTATCACACCAATAAACAAATGAGCTAATTTCTGACTAATAGATAACACTAATACCATCATTCTCATAAAGTAAACTTGGTATAGCTGTGTAATCAGAATATTTAAAAAATATTATATAGCTTTATTTAGTTTTAGTCATTTATGTGCTAAATCTTTTTACTAAGTTGGCAGAAAATCATTTATAATTTTTGATTTTACCTTTTCAACAAATTTTGAATATAACTTTTTATCTTCAACTTAATACCACTTGACATTTGTAATAGTTTTGGTTTTAGTTAAAAAGCCAACACTGCTAACTATTAATAACAAAACAGGAAGAAGGAAGTTAGAAAGCTAAAAATCCTTACGGTTAAGTGAAACCCCACAATTAAAAACACCACATATTCATCGTTTTTTCATATACTGTACACACAAAGAGATTCAACTGAACAAATCCCACACAAACCTGACAATAAGCTAAAGTACTTTGCTTTATTTTCACTAAAGAGACTACATAAGAGTGAAGAGGTTGAACCACAAACGCTGACGACATCTTGAGGTTTCTTATCTCACCTATTGAACTCCTCAATCCAGAGCTTAATCTACTTACCGCAACACAATGTGACGAGGTCTGATCAATCACAATGTGCTGACACAAACACACAAATCTGCTCGAAAAATGCCTCAAGTAAGCACAACGCTGATGTCTCATCACTTTCTATTGATGTGAGAAATCTATAGGGAATCAAAATACTATTTCCCCCAACCCAAGAAATGTGACAAGCGTTCTGATAACAGAAGCACACTCAGGTCTGGGCCCACCCTATCAGCAAACACAAGACTGAAGAAGTCAAGTCCAAAGACCAACAGTCAACACACACAATTACATTTTACACCACATATACACACACCAGTCAAAAAAAAAACACAAATGCTAACAATATTCACTATAACAGTAACTAGCTGTAGCCACACATTTCTGTTTGATATATTGATTTGTCCCTCAAAAATGAAATATTATTATCTGACTTTTCCTGATCCTCTTTGTAAAGCATTTTAGACACAATCTACATTACACAAAGCTTGACTTTTAGAGTACTACTGAAGGTCATGAAGGTCAACGTTACGAAGAATGCACAAGTACAACACTGACTATTTGAACTAGCAAAATGCTAGCAGTTACAGAAAAAAATGACAACAAAGAGTTTTACCTGGCGTTTCAGGTGGATGAATGGGTGTCCGAGTGGGGGGTGTGATGTTGTTTCACTCACACACAGTCACTCACACACTCAGGCCGTCTGTCTGGAGTCTGCTCGCACACACACCGTCTGTGGGGCAGAGGAGTGTGTGATTGGAGGTGCAGTTGGTAAAAGAGTGTTTACTCAATGCATGTGAGGGGTGGGGCGGTGCAAAGGTGCCCCCTCCTAAACCTCTCTCTCTCTCTATCTCTCTCTCCTATATTTCTTTCTTTCTTCCTTTTACTTGTCACACCCAAAAACCCTTCTCTCTCGTTCTATTTTTTTTTTCTGGGAGCAAACTGTGTGCGGTGAGCTGTGAATGCGGTTTGTCCATTGACCGAGCAGAAAGTTTGTTTTAGGTGGCAATTGGCTGGAAATTATTCAAGCCTGACCTGAAATCAATTTCCTTCATTTGAACTGCTCAACCTAATTTTAACTCTTTTCAGACAGTTCATGAAATCTTCTCATTCCCGTTCCTTAAGAAGCAGGCAGTCACACGTTTACCATGTGTTTTATTGTGCTTTAGTTACTTGGAAAAGGTGGAAATCATTGATTCGCAGATGGGTGTGGGTTTGTGGGTGTGCACTTGATTTGCAAAAACTAAATATTTGTCATTTAGTAGAGACCACTTTTTCAACCATGTTGACGTTACATTGAAGTTGACTATTGAATAGTTTACAGAAGTTGGACACTGTAAAAACATTTGTATGTGCACGTTTTCAGTTTTATGACAATGCTAGAAACATGCTTATTGAAGGATAGACAGGAAAATAGTTATCCAAAGCAAGGAGTAAAAAAGCTGGGATCTTCACAATCGATTTGTGTTGGGACAACCGGAAAGAATTAAGTTACCTTATTAGTTTGTAAACATTCAAGTGGATTGAACATAAAACAATTAAGTTGTCCCCCCCCAAAAAAAACTAAAGAGTTGTGCTGTTTCAGCTGTTGTTAATAAACAGTTTGAACAAACAGCAAACATCCTTTTTTGAGTGTATTCGATAAAATATTGCATTCGGTACACAGCAAAATAATGCTTTTCTTATATATGTAATGTCTTGTTTCTAGTCCAAATATCTAAATTCTTTAAATATTTCCGAAAATCCAACTTCTTAAATCAAGAACCATTTTCTAGACAATAAATAATGTCAAAATTAAGCTAGTTTTTCCTTAAAACAGCAAAATGATCTGCCAATGTTGTAAACTAAATAATCTCATGTCAAAAAGAAAAACAAGATCAGTTTGCTTACCTTATTGTCATGTTTATTTTGCTTGTTTTAAGGAAAAACTTAATTGTGTACATATTATTTCTTAAAACAAGACAATATGTTTTGATTGATGAGAAAATGCAATTAGATATTTGGATTAGAAACAAAATATCTCGAAAAAAGCATTTTTATTTTAATAATAGCATTTTAATAAACAGATTTACTAGCAAAAAATAAAAAAACAAAAATCAGGCTTTGTAAAATGCACACTGATGTCTTTGGAAAATGGCAATAATAAATAAGGATGCACCAAAATACAAATTTTGGACCAATTTGACTTATTCTAATATGCTAATACATTGCATTTACTATAGACTGTATCTTTAAATATATATATATATATATATACTGTATGTATATGTATATATGTATATATATATATATATATATATATATATATATATATATATATATATACTGTATGTATATGTATATATGTATATATATATATATATATATATATATATATATTTATATATCATCTGTTACAGAGGATTTTGAATTAAAATGTAATTCAATTTAAAGCTTTCAAAAAATTACAAGAATCAAAGAATCCTAGAACAAAAAAAAGGTTTCCTCTGCTGTTTTCTATTGTGATAATAGTAAAGTGTGATTCCGAGGACAAATTCATCGTTAAATGATCAGTTTCACAATATTATATTTCACTGTAACAAATAAATGCACATCTAAAAAAGGATTATTATTAAAAATGAGCTAAAACAACACAATTCATAAGTTTATTGGTGAAACAACTTCATTATTTAATGTTCAATCTGCTTAAATGTGTAAAAACTAATAAGTTGACTTAATTCCTTCCTCAAATCAATTGTGTGGACTGTGGAACCCAAAATTTTTTAGAGTCTTCGCAGCCTCTTTAAGCATAAGAAACTTTGTTTAAAAACCACCAACCCAGTTCATTAGACTGGTAGTGTATCCCTTTAAATCATGCTACAAAGCAGCACTTTCCTTCATAACCCACATACCGAGTCTTAAAATGTTGAAAACACAAAGTTCACGGACGTGTTATTTATCAACTACCCGATTACATTTTTCTGCAGAGTCAGTTTTCTGTCATATGATGATGGTCACTTGTTACATGTTCAGCTAGATCTACTAAACCTCATAGGGGTGGGAATACAGAAGTGCAACGAGGGGGGGTTGCATATATACAGGAAATGACGGTGCACTTAAGAGCCAAAACAATATTTTGTCCTAGACGGTTGACTGATCACAAGAATCCCTAATAGCCACACAAAACAAACACACACATACATGCACACAAAAAGGGTGGCAAACCAGTTTGATGGATCAATCAACGGTCTCAAACATTTCAAAAACTTTTTTCTCTCCACAACTTGCTCAAAACACAACCTTGAGATCTAAAATAGCACCATCAGAGATTATCTTTTTAATCATTGGCAACATTATAAAACCCGCTGCATTGTGGGTAGGCCATATAACAGGGTGAGGCTGTGTAGAGAGTCAACAAGCCTTGAGAGGGTGCAAAGTCTGCTTTTATACCCTTATCAGTGTCCATTTTACACTATAAACCTTCTCTCCTTGAGTCGTTCCTCAAGATGGAGGAATGAGAGGGTTTGTTTGTCATAGAAATCGAGAAACGGAATATTACAGTAGGTAATTATGAATGAGACGTAATAAATATACATCCTCAAGGGACAAGGATAGAAGATGTGTTTGTGTGTTTTGGGGGGATAAAGTTAGACTGTAAGTGTGTTTTAGTTTTGCACACATTGCGTCACACATTGCAGGTAAAGGTAACTGGAAAATCAGGTTTACCTCAACACTGTAGGAAAACATGAATAGGCTAAAGACACACACACACACACAGAGGCACGCAAACAGACATGTGCTCTGTGCTAGTAACACGTCTGCCCTTACAGTAGATCTGACTCTGAGTCAAGGTCATCTGATGGTGACTGCGCTGGAAAGACTGAGCTTTAAATATCTCCAGATGCGGAAGAGCCATGTTGAACTGTAATACTCGGCGTGATTTTAGACTAATTAGATTGTGCTGTTGGTAGAGCTACAAAGCAGAATGGCCTAAAAAACAAGAACAAAACCTTTGGTTGATGTCAGTGGTGGATAGTTCATTCTTTTTACTGTACACTGTAGAAATATTTGTAAATTAGCAGTTTTCACTATTTTGTGATTTGTGTTTTTATTTTTGCTTTTTAATTGCATTATTGGACCTTAAACTTTCTTCCAACCACTTTTAACCCTGAAAAGTCTGAAAAGGTGACTTTTTATTAAGATTTTTAATAGTTTAAAGTGATATATTTTCTGTATATTACACCACAAAAACCTAAACTGTCAAAACATTTAATGTTATTTCTCTATATATTATCATACATTATATTATTTCAAACTACAAATTTCAATAAAAGTCACTTTGTTGAACTCTAGAAATTTGAGTTTTCAACATTAAAAGTCAACAGAGCAGAGATCAAGATCCAATAAAGCAATTCACAACCATAAATAAGCAGAAAACACTTGTGAATCAGGTTTTTTTTCAGTGTTTTTTTTAAGTATGTGTGTCTTATTTGAGCATTGCTAAGAAAGGTTTACTTTACTACATTTTTTTTAAATCTTGAATGTACCTGAATTTTTTCAACAGATATGTTTTTTTAAACATATGGACATCTGCTAAAGAAGATTTACACTACCGGTCAAAAGTTTGAGGTCAGTAGGATTTTTAAATGTTTTAAAATAAGCTTCTCCTGCTTACCAAAATTGCATTTACAGTATTTAATCAAAAATACATTACACATAGTAAAAATAATTAAATTTTACTGCACTATAAAAGAACTGTTTAAAAGTAGTTTATCATTTAATTTAATAATTTATTCCAGTGATTTTAAAGATGAATTTTCAGCTTCATTACTCCAGTCTTGAGAGTCACGTGTTCCTTCAGAAATCACTCTAATATTTATTATTATTATGATTATTATTAACGATGATAGTAATAAAAGCAATCATGACTGGAGTAATAATTTAATTTGAAACTACATACAATAAGAAAGCAGTTTTTTATGAATATTTAACAATTTAATAATTTTTGATGAACAGGACTCCTTTAAAAAAAACTGACCCCAAACTTTTAACTGGTAGTGTAAATTCAAAATGAATATTGAACTTTTGACCTTTAAATTTATCAAAGAATCCTAAAAAAGTTTTTTACTATATAGTTTATATATATATAATAATATTATATATAATTATAATTATATATATATATATATATATATATATATATATATATTTATATTACGTGGACATTTACATTCTACCTCACTGGTGTCAATGTTTATAATTCAACATTTACTTAAAAGGACATTTAATAGGATGTAATAATAGGATGTATAATAGGACATTTACTGTTTTAACATTAGATTACTAAATCTAAATAACCTCATTCATTCATTTTCTTGTCGGCTTAGTCCCTTTATTAATCCGGGGTCGCCACAGCGGAATGAACTGCCAACTTATCCAGCAAGTTTTTACGCAGCAGATGCCCTTCCAGCCGCAACCCATCTCTGGGAAACATTCACACACACTACGGACAATTTAGCCTACCCAATTCACCTGTACTGCATGTCTTTTTGACTGTGGGGAAAACCGGAGCACCCGGAGGAAACCCACGCGAACGCAGGGAGAACATGCAAACTCCACACAGAAACGCCAACTGAGCCGAGGGTTGAACCAGCGACACAGCGACCTTCTAAATAACCTGAAGGATGAAAAGTTTTTTGTCCCTTGAAAGTATTTTAGGGCATTTGCATTAACATAGTGTTGTAAAATCAGTGG